TGAGTTGATGCTGAGGCCTGCACGACATGTCCTTTCGCGGAAAGAGCCGGTTCCGGAAAAGGGGGATGAGCTTTCTGTCAACCCGGAACCGGACCATTCAGCTGTCGCTGAGGGAAAGAAGAAATACAGCCAACTAATAATCAGTCCGAGGGTACTGACTGCGGCCGGTAGCTCTGCCTATCCTCGTCACTGGGAAGGCCAGACGCCGGTCGGCGTGAGAACCAACAGAAATTTGCCAAATGCCATTTCATGTCGGCCAGATCGCCAGAGCTGGAATGTGTGTGCAACGCAGCCACACGCTCCCAGTCTAATGTCTAGAGACGAGGAGTCCACCTCGTTGCTGGTCGACGCAAAGACCGAAGTCGCGGCGATAGCAACAACACAGCGTCGAAGGGAGTTGGTAAATGAAATGATCTTGGCCGATGTAGGGCCTCGTGTGCTGGTGAAAACACGTTCTGGTAAAGAGATTTTGGTAAGAAATTGCCCATATCTGAGCCTCGAGAGTGCACCGGTCGTCGGGCGATTAGGCAAAACGACGGAACCTGCTACTCCTCTGGACGGCAAGAGCCTTTCATCAGCTGACAATACTGTCTGCTCGGTACCATCGAATGCGACCCAGCCCACCAGCTCAACGGCAACCACAACCAGCAATGCCAACTATCTCTTTCTTCCCAGTGCCCTCACATATGGTCACCAACGTTGCTCAGTCTACTCTACTGAAGCTCATTCAACCGCTGCCTTGGTGACCAATTTCGGTCCGAGTGTACAAACTTCCATTTCCCCGCAAGAAGGTCTGGTGCCGGTGCTGGGAGAATCGTGTGGACCGTCGGTTGTGCGGTCGGGTCAGGATTATGAAACGAAGTCGACACCGGCCCGAGACGTGAACCATGACATTCCGGCGGAAAGAGCTCGTGTCAAGTTTGCAATGCGGCCTATCGCGCAGGTGGCCGGCAACTCGAACGGTGCATTGCCGCATCATTCACCTCCAGCCCAGCCTCCTCCTCCTCTTTCTCCTACTCCTTCTCCTCCTCCCACTTCTCCACTTCTTCCTCCTGCTCCACTCCAACAGCCGAGGCCAACGGCCTGCCCGACCAACCAGCCCATCCATTCGGGCCAAGCACAGTCGCCACTTCAACCACAACCCGAAAACCAACCTGTTTCACACACGACTGGGCTGCAGAGGCCACTTTTCCACTACCCCTGGCACACGGTACAGCCATGCAGTCAGCAGAATCAGCAAAGGCAGCAGACAACCCTCGTCAGGCAAGGTCAGCATCTGCCGGTGCCGATGTTGGTGCCGATGTTGGTGCCGGTGCCGCCTCCACGACAACATTTGCACAAGGCAAATCGCTCGTACTGCCCGTCTTCAGCGGAGAATGGCCGATGGCGTGGAGAAATCGGTCCGTTCGACGAGGCGGCAGCTCGTCATGGCGGACATCTGATGCCGTTCAAGTCGACAGAACTGCTCGTCGCCAAGCCGACGACGTCGTTGCGAACGACCGAGGCTCAACAACAAATGGGCAAGATTCCCTTTCACCAGGTCGGCAAGTTCCATGTCCACGACCGAGTATCCATGCCACAGCAGCAACAGCCTGTTGCTCAGGGACCGGTCACTCAGCGATTCTGGTTCCAGCCGGCAATGTTGCCCGGCTCACTCGACGCCTCGGGCTCTCTGGAGCCGTCAACCAGCAGGAGCATGCTCAAGCCATCTGGCAATAGCCATGACAGCGCAACTGTCAAAAGTAACCTTGGCACCGGCTTTGTTGAGTCAAACATCGACATCCACCGATCTACCGGCAACAGAGAATATGTGTCAGGCAATAAGTTGGCCTTAACTAGGCCAGGCAACCCGCTTCAAACGAAGCATAATCCCTCTTTCATTACCTCAAAGCCACGGATCTCGCAGACAGCTGCCCCACAACTGCATCGTTATTCCATGTTTGAGCCGAAAAACTATTGAAGCCGTTGACTGACACTTGTTTATTCACATTCGGGCATAGTCGACGATTATGCATACTCGTCTGTAAATGACCACCACAACAATTTCTCGCCTACTATGCTTCGAAGCAGATCCCACTGCCGAAGGTGGCCAGCTTCCCTAGCAACTTTTGCCTCAGGGAAACGATATTTCCCTTTAAAAGTCATCTTCTTTTTATTTCTAATTTGTCTGTTCGTCTGACATTTGTTCGCCTAACTTCTGCAAGATTCATTACGTAGTGCTTCCATATTGTGTCTTTCATAAACTGACTGCTCGTCTAATTAAGGGGATACTTTCAAAGTTGCTTCCCAATTTTCCTTTCTAAATGTTTGCTATGATTCATACGCATATCAATTAGGCTATCGCATTTACTGCGCAACTCCACCTTTATAGCTTCCCACTTAGAAAACCTAATTAATGGTGTTGATTGCCAGTCACTTATACACCATGGTGTATTTATGTGTTTTCGCTGAGTTTACTTTTGAGTAAACAATATCCTTTAACTATTTCACTGAACCTTTGCAAACAACTCTTCCATATAAGGGTGTATGCATATTCTTACACCAGTATTGTGGTAAATTTTCTGAAATTGTTCAACCCGATTGGCAGCAACTAGAACGAAACGGAATACCCTTTGCATGTTTACCGCTGAAGGGAGCCAGATAAGTTATTGCTTTGAGAATCGCCAAACCAACTATTAGTAGGCTCCAATAATTCCTGACGGGCTGCGCTAACTGTGCAGATAATCAGGTAGACTTAAAAGGACAAGTTGACATTTTATTATCTGTTCTCCTAATTAGGTTATCACACCAAGTAACCCTAACTAATATGAATGCAGTCAAGCATTTTATGTTGAAAGAGTTTCCATCAAGGAGTAATAGGAAAACAAACACCCCATCAACATCGGTGAGAGTGTGCATGTCGGTTTCCATAACACTTCGTTCCTTCAATAAAGCATACAAATTGTGGTATCATCTAAAATATTTTCTGACACATCTGAATGATTTAAGTCCGGTTCTTCGCTATTCATGACTGAACTGAAACTGCATGTTGGCTCTTCATAAAAAGTTAAATTATTTATTTACACTTACTCTACATTTAAAATTTTAAAGTTTCAAAGGATTAAAAGATTGTTTCATTTCGCTTGACCTCATAGATCGCTATGAACATTAAATCGATTAAATCTACTGGCTTTTGCATCCTGAATTCAGATAGATTGCTATTCCTCGACGCACGCAATTATGCTTTTGAAGAATAAAGTTTATTTTTAATGTGAAACATGACTAATGCATAAAATCTATTTTCCTTTGTCAATTTGCACCAAATATCAATTTGCTCCACGTATGATCCAATGAATGTTGACGTCATGTTTGGTGGTTGACTTACAAACCAAGTTTTAATATTTGTGAAGGCAGAATGTTGTTTCCTGACCTGTGATGAGTTATATGAGTAAATTGTCACAGAATACTTTGCCTCGCCACTTGATTGGATAAGAAACCTAGGCAACTGTCTCTGTTGCACGTTTAATTCATATTAGAGTTTCATTTATTACAAATAATTTTCATATTGATGAATGTCGACTGAGCATAAGCACATGTACCGTGCATAAAATACTCTGTTCTTAAGGGGAATTAGACATTTTTACAAAAAAGTGCATTTTTCAACGCACCACTTTAGAATAAATATATTACCTTAAGTGATAATTATTTCAAGCATGACTTATCTATTTTTCATGGACATCATCATGGATAAGATGATCTTTTCATTACTGCCAAGCTTAATCATAATAAAACCAAACCAAGTGACATTATATCTAAATATTCGCAATATTTTTCATACTATATGAGAAAGAGCCTAAATACACCAATACTGATGACAAAATTGGTTTACCAAAACTTTTTTGATGGTAAATGTTATGCTTTTTTCATTTTTTATGTAGTTTGTTTTATTGCCCAGGTTTATTTCTTTCTGAGCTAATTGCTATCGTCTATGCCAAAGTTAAGATCAGAGCTTCGATTTGCTTCTTAACAAAATGTGTTACAATACTTATCCTCATCCTTATCTCAAGCGATCCTCTTAAATATTTGTTTACTTATGTTTGAGCCAAGATTGAAAAGAATTTGACCTTTTCCATCTTTTTATACTCTTTATTGTTAAACATATTATTCTATTTATATGTCGCTCAGATTAACTTTCACTTATTTAATGATTCAAAATATTTAACACTTATCTAGTGGGCTACTTTTCAGCTCATCTCATTTAGTAAATATTTATGCACATTATTCTGAACAAATGCAAATCTGGCTCAAACTACGACCTTGTGCAACGGTCTCCCAAAAATTTGCAAACGCCTAATTTTTTGCTTTCTTTATCATTTATTATGGAAATCAATCGCATCTGCCTTTTAATTATCTTTAAAATGCAAGCTGTTGAGATGGTAGTGTAAGGTTATCTTTTGTGTGTAATGGAAAAGTGATATGTACTATATACTTTTAATGAGCAGATTTTGCGTTACGTGATAAAAGATTTTATTTTGCCATACGGGATTTATTCGTGTGATATTATAAGTTACGTAAATTACTGCTTCAGAGAGTCACAATTTAGCAAAATGGATTAGTATTTGCTTTACATTATTTTCACAATTGGTCATATTGGCAGGAGGACCTAGAGGAGCCCACCTAGTCTGGAGTCCATAGTATGAATAATAATTTCCAGAGTCGGACCGTGGACTTAGTACATTCCCAGACGTTTCTCCGGCATCTTCAGTGGGTCTTGCCATTTTTGGCGCCACATTACACCTCGTCAAAGAGACAAGTGCAGTCAATTTTTTGACCAATTGTCTGCTAAACAGTTGTGGTACTGGGGCACTTACCTGTTCCACATGATAAGTATATGCACCATAATAACAATCTAAGTGTATAAATAGTCCTTAAAGCTTTGAAAAAAATCAAATTAATTTTTACTAAGGTTCCATAAAAGTGGAGGAGCTAGGCACCTTTTGATAAGATAAGGAAATAAAAATGTGAGAAAAGTAACAATTTACCTAAACAAAGGGATTTGGAGGAAACTATTGCCCAACGTTTTATGTTTTTTTGTATAATTGGAAGAGAAAGAAGCAATACTTATTAAAATATTTTGGATTTCACAAATATTTCGATCAAAATTAGCAAACAAAGTGATTAAATAAATAGTTTAAATTGTTCGTTCTGATAATTTTCCTGATGCTAGACTATAGACGCACAGCAGCCATTGAAATTTTAATGACCACAAGATGTAAACGCTTTTATTATTCGAATGAAAATGGATAGTAGTACAGCTAAATGTTTCCAATTAATCTCAATATCCAGACTTACTAAGTGTACTAGGCATGTCTGAAAGTAATTTTCATTTTTATCTGTGTTAACACTTGTTTCACCCTCTTTTAAGTATGGTGTTGAGACATTAGCTTTAAATGGATCCAACAATAAAGTGCAAGATTTCAAGTTCAGGAGAGATGAAAACTCTAGATACCCCTATTCAGCATAAACATATTATTTATTAAGTGCTCCATGATCTTTCACAGATCTATTGAGTCATAATGTTTTACATTTCCTTGACTATTTAATGCACCATATAACTTAAAACCTAGGCCACGTTCTCTATGAGTCTGACTGTCTTGCTTAGTTTCATTACTATAGGCCAAATGAAAACCATCATCACATCTGAAGGAATTGAAAAAGAAGGAAAGAAATATGCTTAAAACCGAGGGTATGGCCAATAATTGTTTTGTTTTCTACGAAGTGATACATTGTATATTGAGTGTAAAATCTAACACCTGCAAAGCAGTAGCATCCATAAAGTTGATATAACGTCCCTCCAAGACATCCTTTAAAAAAAAGTACTCGGGATGGGTCCTTTTCCAAATTCAGCATGAAAGATGTGCCACTATTTGATTGAAATTTACTTCAAAGTATCCACCAAGAAGTTGTACTGCCTTTTCTGCACCTTTATCTGACATTTAGGGGTGATGGTGTAGTTTGGTATAAGTAAGAATTTTATTAAACAATTTCTTCTTGACATATAAACTTTCCTATAATGACAGCGTCGCATTCACACCAAAGTTAACGGTATATATTTCATTTGACTCACGAATACTACTGGAGAAGCAATAAGCACATGAAAAGCCATTTTTTATACCAAACCCAAGCAAATTTGCAGCCTACCCATCAATATATGCTATGGTTCTATATGTCCTATATACTTTTGTATAAAATAGCATAACCACCGACAATAGTCGACATGTAGTTTAGCAACCTCCAGGCTATGAAAGTTGCCTGAAGTTAAATGAACAGTTTTACTTATGCATCTTCATTTCCCAGTCTTCAAGACTTCCGCATTTCATATCTAATAAATAGGGAGAGAAAGCTATTTATTTGTAACTATGAAGAGAAGCAAGATTTCAAAGAATCTTTTAATTGCCTGATGTTGCCATACTTTTCATTAAGTTTGAAAAATCGAATAGGACGGATTCGTAAATTGGCCTCATTAAATTCTTATAATATAGTATAAGCCGAAAATGTGTAGCAGATAGTATGTTTAGTAGAAAAGTACGCAAACCAATTCTAATTTTTTTTTAGAATAACAAAAATGATGATTTCCATGTCTGGAAAAATTCTATTTCATAGAAAGCTGATAGCATGATTCGACACGGTTACATCAAATCAAGCAGTGCGGAGATTTTCTTCCTCACAGACAGCCATGCTCCGATAAGTCGAAAATAACGATAGTATAATAGTGCTACGAAAATTTATGTTCCATTCTTAACTTGTTTTAAGTCTCTACTGTTCCTTATAAATATGATGGAGGATCGCAATGGCAAAATATATTTTCAATTATAACAACTCATTATTCCAGCCTTCAATCATATTTAATATAATTCGGGTAAAGTTGATGAATATGTAGCTAAATGTTTTTGCCCTTAATTCACTAAGCTGGAGCTTAGC